TAAAGAAAAAACACTTTGATTTTTCACTATTTTTTCTTCTCTTTCTATTGATAGCCAAAAATCACAACAAGATACCCGGTGTGGTGTTCGCGAAGGGACCTTGCTTCCCATCCCTTTCTCCGAGCCTTCCAATATCGACATTGACTACTCTAACTTATATTTTTGCCTAACTATCTTAAATTATTTTTTAGAACTTTATTTTATATTTTTATAGTTTTCATATATTAGCTTAACTAGTTTATAACCTGTGGGGATCACGGTTACAAAATTAATTAAACTTTGATAGTAAAATGCGAAAATTATTAACTAAGAGATATTTTTTTTAGTTATATAAAGCTATACTCATAATTTAAATAAATACACGACTTTATAATCTATATTCATCATATTCTAATGTGAATGTTAATAGTTTAATTTAATTAGAGTGAAAATTTTAATATTTAAAATTTACAATGAAGAATCAATAAGCAAATAACATGACATTAATTAGAAAACTTAATAAGATGGCACATAACAAAATAAATAAATAAATAAATAAACCTATTCATGGGGAGATAACTTTTCATCTTATGTCAGATTTTAAAAATTGTTCCATCCCTATTACATTTCACCGAGATGAAAATTAAAACTTTATGCATATAGAAAATTGATTTTAGCTTCTAGGAGGGTGTTTGATATTGCTTTTTCAACTAACAAATCATTTTTAGAAAAAAAACTTTTGATTTATGATTTTTTCCCAAAGAAACTTTTAAAATGTGTTTGTATGGATTTTTGAGGGTGTAAAAGAAAAAAAGCCAAAAGTTACTAAAAGTCACGAATCTGTGACTTACTAAAAGTCATGAATCTGTGACTTTTTAAGCTGGAAGGAGTAGTGCCACCGAAACCGCACTCCATTTACTGCCATATGTGTGCCACATCATTTTTTACCACACAAGTATGGTTTTTTGCCACACCTAGGGAGTGGTGCCACACTTTTTTTTTAACTACTTTAATTTAATGAAGCTTCTTTTTTAATAAAAGAACATAATTTTTCATTAATTGAAAATTAAAAAACATTATAGTGTATTACTAAAATAACAATAAAAAAACACACATGTCATTAAAAAAAATCCTAGAAACTTAAGAAAACAAAAATAAAATAACTAAAACATACTACATAAAGTCGTTCTCCGAGAACTCGTCTTCCGATTTAGCCGGTGGATCCAAATTAAGGTTAATGTGTTGAATCCTGTAAATGTGTTCCACCAAGTCCATGCGAAGATTGTGAGATGTTTCAGTGCAACGTATCTCTACTCTCCTGTTCATATACTCTTCACCACCAATTTCTATTGGTTGTGTCTCGGGTATGGTTTCTTCCTCATCAAACTCACATATCACTCTTCCTTCGTCTTCAATAATCATGTTATGCAATATGATACATGTATACATGATTTCTTGAAGTTTTTCATCACCAAAATAAATTGTTGGTTTTATCAATATGAACCAACGTTTCTTAAGAGTACCAAAAGCACGCTCGACATCCTTCCTAACTCTTTCTTGAGCTCTCTTGAATTTTTTTTTGTTTAGAACCATGTGGACATGTAAATGATTTAACAAACACAACATACTCAAGATAGATTCCATCGACCAGGTAATAACCATACTTATATGGCGTCCCATGCACATCAAAAGAAGAATCTGGTGCAGATCCATCATATATGTTGTTAAATATAGGTGAACGATTAAGAACGTTGACGTCGTTAATCGAACCTGGAGAACCAAAAAAGCATGTCAAATCCACAGATCCTATGATGCAACTGCTTCAAATATGATCGTTGGGTGACCATACTCACCTCAAGTAAATTTTCCATGGTGTGAGGTAGGACAATTTTTCCATGCCCAATGGAGACAATCTAAACTTCCTAGCATTCGAGGAAACCCATACACACTAGCATGATGAGTTTGCAATTGTAAGATGTCATTACGTGTAGCCTTACATAAATATTTTGGACCATAAAACTGAATCACAGTTTTGCAGAAATAGTGGAGATTGTCTCGTACGATCCTAGCAGACATCCTAAAACTCTCGTCCAACGCATCAGACATAATGCCATATGCTAACTGACAAAGTGCGGCCGTGCATTTTTTGTAAGGGAGTGAAACCGGGTGTACCTCTAGCATCATAACGTTGTTGGAAAAAATTACACTCCCTCGTTACATTTTCAACTATATGTTCGTATAGACGTTTGAACATTCTGAAGCGCCTACGAAAATAATAGCATTGATAAGTTGCATTCTCTTGAAAGTAGTCTTGTACCAAACGTTGGTTGGCTTCTTCATGATTTCTGCAAATATATCTTCGTGTTCTCCATTGAGAACTTTCAGCTGCGTTATGGCATAAAACATCATATGTTTGTTCCGCCATTTGAGCACACGCAACAACGACATCAAAAATAACTTGAAACTCTTCAGAAGATGAACATGACATTTTGAGAGAGAATGGTGTTTTTTGTTTGAAAAAAATGAAGTGTATGTAGTATAATTTAGGGATTTTTACATTTATATCCTTCTAAACTATAAATATTACTTCTATATCCTTATAAACTTCAATATTACGTCTATATCCTTTTAAAAATATAAAAATTACATCTATATCCAAATCCATTTTTTAATTATAATTATATCAATTTTATATTTAGACAATTAGATAAAAATAAAAACTACATATAAGTTTACCAAAATACCCCTTTTAACATTAAACGAGTATCTATTCCATCAAAATGGGGCCTCTTCTTCATTGCTTCAATTCTCTGATATTTAGTTGCTTAATAAACATCGGCTGCCTCACCTTCTTCTCACCTACACCACAACCTGTAAACGACAATGCCCCCTTCGTTCCACACTACTTTGAGAAACCAGTAGACCGCCACTCCTCACTGTTGTGACCTAGATATATCCTCTCCTTTCACAGCAAAAACGTCACCCAGAAATTCCTCCTTGTCTTCTCACTGATAATTTAAGGTTTGATTCTCTTCCGTCTTCTTTTATTCAAGGGTTATTCTACGGTGGTTCCCTTAATAGTTTAAAGTTTCATGTGGATTTGATTTTGCAATTTCTTAATTCTTCTTGGTATTTTCTTATTTTGGGATTTGAAGGTCCGATTTACACATATCTTTGAGTAGATTTATCATGCTCGTAGGTGATTGGTACACAATTCGTTCCAATAAAAGCTTAGATTTGATCATGCTAATGTTTTTATTCTTGTATGAAGTGTTATGAAGTCTAGTATAGTTAGTAATTTTTTTTGTAAAGATTAAGATCGATATCAAGTTGGAACTCGACTTTACTTTTGATACCAAACTCCAATGCAGCTATAAACAATTGGAAAATGGCTTCAAGTAGACCTTTACAACAAAATGCTCGAATTTTTGATTGAACCCGATAGAATCTCATTTTCTATTGCAGATTGATCTGACTTCCAAGGTATCTTTAATCTTCTCAGAACACCAAGAAAACAACCTAGCACTTTTAGTAGCAATAAGTTTGGAATGTTTCCTACTTGCTGACTCACCACCATCTAGAATTTTTGTGCAGGAAATTTGGTATTGGTTTAGATTAACGAAACAAAAGATAAGAAAACATCAATTTTTCAGTATTATTTGGTTCTTTATTTTCTGATCATGGAGTTGGTTTCGGATCTATGTTGTATGTAGAAGTTAACATGTTGATTCTTAAGTGCAACCTGTTTCAAAAGAGAGTTGTAACCAGGTGGAATATTTTACACAGATTCTAAATGTGGGGATACATTATATCTGTGATAACTATCTCCTTTCATTCTTGTTGTTCAAAGCTTCTCTTTCCTATCTATTATAGCAACCATAATCACTTTATCAGAAATCTATAAAGGATTTGATCATTTATTGTTTCGTGTTTCTACCAACTGGATGGGGGCTGATACTAGCTAGTAAGCAAGCTCTCTTGATTTTGAATCAAAATCTTGATCTTTTTATTTCTTGAAGTAAAAGTAACCATTTTTTCTTCATACTAGGTTGGTAAAACATTCAGGCCGTTGAGTCGATGCACGATTTTGTGGAAATTCACATCACTCTTAGTTATTCAATCACAGGTTCCAAGGTCTTATTAGAAGTCATTACCGGTATCAAGTTGCTACTTTTGAAAAGATCAGCAACAAAAGGAAAACAAAGGCTTTCGAGGTACATTGCTATTTTGGAAACATGAGTACAAGTAGATTGTTATTTTAGTCTTTTTCCACATTGTTTCTGGTGGCTTTTGTCTATGTTAATCTAAATTTTGTAGGTTCTTGTTTTCTCTATATTGTAACTTTCCAAGCATCCTACTGGTTTTCATATTTAATACATTTTAGTTATAACATAATTTAATTGTACAATTTATAGTTGAAAACTAAAAAAAATACTTCAAACAAACATTGTGTTAAAATATTGTTTCAACATTTTGAGCGGCATCTAGTTGGAGCATTTAATCAGCTAAGTGGAAGGCATTGTGGTTTATGATTCTATTGCCTATTGGTGGTGTATAAAACCCAACAAAGCAAAATAGTACAAAAATGATCCTATGAAGAAAACAATTACATAAATGGTTCCTGTGATAGAAAAATATTACATAAATGGTCCCAAAACAAAATTACATAAATGGTCCCTATGACAAAAAGCGATTACAGGAATGGTCCCAAATCAATTAAAAAAATCGTCCTTGTTGCAGAAAATGATTACAGAAATGGTCCCTGTGACAAAAAAATATTACCTTAATTGTCCCAAAACATAATTTCATAAATAGACCCTGTGGCAGAAAATGATTACATAAATGGTCCTTATAAAGAAAAACAATTACATAAATGGTCCGAAAACAAATATAAATAGTTGATCAAATTCATAACAATTTTTTCCCATGAAAAATCCATCCAAACAACAAAATTAAAGAATTAAACAATCCATTCATCAAGCATTAAAGTACTAAAGTCTAATCAAACTCTTAACAAAAGCTCATGATCTTTTTTGTTCTTTATTCTTGCTAGTGGATGCATCATCAGAACCTTGACGTTCGAGATTTTTGCAAGTCTTTTGATGGTGTCCAAACATACCACAACGGGGGCATCTATGTCTTTTCTTGGGTTCATCACGTGGTACAATTCTATTCTTTTTAGGTCGTCCAGGAGGCCGTTTTATAATAGGTGGGTATATCTTCTCGATTGTCTTTATATGCACCCATTGATCCTTTCCCGACATTGGAGCAATTTCTAAAGCATATGCTTCTTTAAATTTATCAATTGTGAAATATGTATCGACATATATGTCCCAATCAGGATCCCTTGTAAAAGCAATATTTGCAGCTGCATGCACACATGGTAGGCCTTTAACTTTCCAAACTCGACAACTACATTTTATCTCATCTAGTATAACCTCCCAACGTTTTCCTTTGTAGTTCACCTGTGCTCGATTGTCACTGCTTCTACAAACTTCAAAGTTACCTAAGTTCTACATGAGAAAATAAGACAAGAATAAATTATAGAAGAATTTTTTTTCTATGTTTTCACAATCCTAAATAAAATAAAAATAGATAATACATGAGAAATTCATTAAACTTGCCTTAGAGATTCTCTTGAGATAATTCTTTGCTTTTGGTACTAATGTTCCTTTCCATTTGTTTACAATTTTTCTTTTTTTTGTCAAATCGTTGCATAAGCTTTTCTCTAATTGCATCAAGGAGATCGAGCACTGGTTTATAACGTATGTCACCTACCCAGGAGTTAAAAGTTTATGAAATATTGTTGGTAATATAGTCACACTTGACAACTGTACCAAACTTGCTTCTACTCTATATCTTCTTATGGTTCTCATTTAAATATAAAATCCATCCTCACGTACACTTGCAATTTCATTTAACAATCTATCATGCTTACTAATAGAGTAGGTCTTTGCAGCATCCCATAGCTTGGTTATGAAATAATCACCTCGATAATGTTTCTTGAAGTTGCTATATAAATGTCTTATGCATTCGCGATGCTTAACATTAGGATAAACCTGTGTAATAGCTACTTCCAACCCTTTTTGCTTGTCAGAGGAGATAACAAGACCGTCTGGTGTACCGATTGCTTTTTCTAGTGACTTGAGAAACCAAGTCCATGAATTTTTATTCTCAGACTCAAGCACACCATAGGCTACTGGAAACATGCCATGGTTATCGTCGATACTTGTGGCAGCGGCTAGTACACCATTAAATTTCTCCTTCAAATGACAAGCATCGATCACAATGTAAGGACGACAACTAGAAAGAAACCCCTTAGAGCATGCTGTTAATGATATAAAAAAGCGTAGGAAATGTTTCTTGTTATCCTCTGTTTGCAAATCAATCTCCACAACACTTCTAGGGTTTCTTTGTTCAAGCTCCTGTTTGAAATCATATATATTTACGTAAGATTCATCCCACTTGCCATACATATCACTATAAGCTTGTTCTTTTCCTCTAAAGACTCATATATGGTACATCAACATTGTAGCTTTGCATACACCACTTTTTTAGGTTGGCGGGAGATACATCTCCATCAGATTTCAGCTTGTCGGTTAGAACATCACCAATCCATCCTTGAGTTGCATGTTTGTTACCACACTTGTTGCTTCGAGTACAAGAACGAGTTTCTACAAATTTCTTAACCTATAAAATTGCATAAAAACATATACTAATGTTAACGAAATAATCATGTCAGCAAATGTAGTATTTCTTAAAATTTATACTTACTTCAAAAGTAACCTCATCCTTAGTAAGAGAAGCATGGATTCTCCACTCACACTTTTTATCTTCACAACATGCCGTAAGTCGTGTCAAATCGCTTTTCCCAATAATATACTGAAATTCATTTGTTATCGCATAGTTGTTTAACGCTCTTCTAAAAGCAATCACATTTGGAAATTTAGAATTCACTTTCATAACCGCATTTTTATTGCTATATGAATAACTTTTAAAATCAGAATTTAGAAGCTCATACTCATTACTAGAACTATGACGACTGTGATAGCTTTCTTCACTTGGACAATTTGAGTCTGAATCATTTTCGTCATCTGATTCATCAATAACTTGATCTTGGCCACTAAACGATTTATACATTTTTTGTGTAATTTTTTCAGTCGTCGCATAAATTATTACTTCTTTCTCTTCCTTATACATGTTAAGCATCACCATGAAGCTTTCATCAGAATCAATTATAATAAAACGTTGCTCTTTTGAATTCTTGTCAATAAAGACTATTGACAACACAATATCGTTTTATGATGGATAATGTTTTTCTACCTCTTCAACCAGTTCATTCAAGTTGTATGAGCAAATGTCTATATAGAGAGTTTTTTCTAAAGCCGAAATAGTACACTTGCCTACATGAGTTCCTAGCAAACCGAAAAAACCTCCATATTTCAGTTTAAGCTTGTATTTCCATGTTACTTGCCTGATAACCACATAGAAAAAAAAAAAAACGGGTAATGAAATATACATGAAACATAAAATATCAACCATCTTGTAGGTAAATAAAATTTGATCCTTAGAATTATTGTAGAAACGTACTCAATTATCGGGGAGTGACCAAATATCTCCCGTCTCGGTGTATCTACCTCATCAACCATCAAAATTAATCGAACGCAATTACAGAAAGAGGTGGAGACTAAATTCTGTTTTGTAAATCAAAATTAATCAAATGTAAACACATAATTGATCAAATGTGAAGTTAATCTAGTGCAAAATAAATTACTTCAAATAATATGACAAAGATTACTTGTTGTGAAGAAGAAGAGCCAGCGATAGCAATATATGGAGAAGAAATTTTGTTTTGTGAACCAAAGTTTATCCAATGCAATACACAACTGATCAAATGCAAAGTTAATCTAACCAGAAGATTACCTGTTGTGATGAAGATGCGAAACTGAGTTATGATGAAGATGCGAAAATCACTAGGTAAGGAGATAGAGTACGTGATCAAGAAGATGATAATGTAACTGCGCCGATTTAAGGGAGGGATACGTAATCTAATATGTCCAGCAACTTAAATTGGGATTTAATTATGAAAGGGTATATTGGTAAATTAATATATAATTCTAAATATTATATAAATAGTTTATTAAAAAAGGTGATATAATTATAATTAAAAATGGATTTGGATATAGATGTAATTTTTATATTTTGAAAAGGATATAGACGTAATATTGAAGTTTATAAGGATATAAGAGTAATATTTATAGTTTAGAAGGATATAAATGTAAAATTCCCTATAATTTATAGGAAAGAAAGAAAAAAGAAAAGAAAAAAAATATTAAATGGTCTAAGTTTTGACCGTTCAACGGTCCCATCCCATCAACTAACCACATCGCATGGCTAGAAAAGACCCAGTGGGCTGAAACCGCAGGAAACCACACCCAGGGGATGGTGCTCGCGGTCTAGGTGGCCAAACTGCGGTTTCAAACCGCACCCACTCCGTATAGCTTTAAACACGGGAAAATGACTTAGGAGGGTAACTATCTCTTATCCGTGTTCATATATTGGCAACTTCTTCTTTTTTGTACATAATAAAACAACTAACTTGTTTTAACTGTTTAAATCACACCAATATTACCGGTTAATACCTGTTTTAACCGGTAACTCAAAGGGAAAATGACTTAGGAGGGTAACTACCTCTTATCCGTGTTCACATATTGACAACTTCTTATTTTTTGTACATAAGAAAGCAACTAACTTGTTTTAACTGTATAACATCCCAAAAATCATGAACAAAAATTTTGTTTTTAATTTAATACTAAAACCATAATTGTCAAACCATTAATTTAATACTCCGGCATCGGGCCCCACCCGACATCAAGCCCCGTCTGGCATCGAACCCCGCTCAATATACATATCTGTCTCTCTTAGGCCCCCGCCCACTAAACACATGCAATCATATAACATGCTAACACATAAAGAAACATACTCTACCGTAACCCTGTTCTAAGAAACATACTCTGGTAATAATGAGATACGAAACTTGTGTATGGGTCTAAGACCACAATGTCAGCCTATATAGTCTATGAGTTGGAAGATCCGGGGGTTAGCCCTAGGCATTGTATGCTAGTATGTTATTCCAGACCAAGGTTCGATGTTGGGCGGGTGCCCGATGAATGTTTGCATGTTAGATTATACTTGTTGTCTGTGTGATACTTGTATGTGCCTGGTAAGGAGGTAAGTGCCTGGTAAGGAGGTAAGTGTGGATGAGGTCCCATATCTAATTATTAACAGAGTATGTTTCTTAGGACAGGGATATAGTAGAGTATGTTTCTTTATGTGTTAGCATGTTATATGATTGTATGTGTTTAGCGGACAGGGCCCAGAGACAGACGGGGCCTAAGAGAGACATACCTGTATATCGAGCGAGGCTCGATGCCAGGCAGGGCCTGATGCCGGGCGGGGCCCGATGTCGGAGTATTAAATTAATGGTTTGACAATTATGGTTTTAGTATTAAATTAAAAACGAAATTTTTGGTCATGATTTTTAGGATGTTACACAGTTAAAACAAGTTAGTTGCTTTCTTATGTATAAAAAATAAGAAGTTGCCAACCTGTGAACACGGATAAAAGGTAGTTACCCTCCTAAGTTATTTTCCCTTTGAGTTACCGGTTAAAACAGGTATTAGCCGATAATATTGATATAATTTAAATAGTTAAAAAAGTTAGTTGCTTTATTATGTAAAAAAAAAAAAAAAATTACCAATATGTAAACACGGATAAAATATACCAACCGTTTAACACCTTTTTCTCTCTCTTAAAAAACTATGACTTTTGAAATTACCAAACAAACTTTCTTTTAACTTTTAACCTGAAAAAGCTAATAGTTTGGGAATGCCTAATAGAAATCGCGAAAGATAGTCTGCAGTGGAGAGGTAGTAAATTTTTCATCAATGGCAGCACGAGTAGGAGAAGGGCAAAGAAGAGGAGGCGGAAGGCCACTTCCACCGTCGGCAAGAGGACCACCTGGTCCTCCTCCTGTTCATGGTAAACCCGGACCTCGATTTGAACCAGTCGACCGCGAAAAGGTTCCGTTTTGCTCTCTCTCTCTCTCTCTCTCTCTCTCTCTCTCTCAATATCTATCTCTCTCTTCATCCGCATATCTTGATATCGACATTCCTTTGTGTATTATCGTGTGTGTGAGGTTTTAATTGGTGAATGTTGATGTGTATGCGTTGTATTGGTTGTCCGAAGATTTTCTAGGGTTTGGAATCATGCAATATTTCCGATGACTTTTATGCTCTATGTTTATAAATTATAATCTGTTTGGATAATCAATGTATCGCTAACGTAATATTAAAGTTCTGCTGATTACATTCGACAAATCGAATCGAATTGTATATATTCATGAAACAATAATATCGTCTCAACAATGTAAGAAAAATCAATCTTCATCGATTGATTCATAAAGAAACACAGATAGACTCATATCGCCAGTTTGGATTTGAAGTCGACAATTAAGTGAAAATGTTTCAGTTTTGACATCATTTGATTATGTGCAATTTAAGACTTGTTATATGCAATTTGTTATTACTAAAGTCGTTTCCTTTCTTTGACATGCAGACTTGTCCATTGCTACTTCGAGTTTTTACCAAGGTAAGAAAGATTAAGATTTTAGAATACCATTTGAGATGCCCTAAAAAGAAACTATTTGTGGATTTCATTGTAAATTGTAAGTTAAGAATTTTTGTTGATTTGAATTCAAATTTCAAACAGATTGGTGGTCATCACAACCAGACAGACTTTGCAGTGAGAGGCAAGGAACCTAAAGATGAAGTCCAAATCTATACATGGATGGATGCTACACTTCGTGAGCTCACTGATCTGGTACATACAATGGAATGGAATCACACAAGGAATGGAATGGAATTGGGAATTGTTATTTGTTGTGTTTTGTGTTGACTTTTTTGGTTTTGGTTTTCAGGTAAAGGAGGTAGCTCCAGAGGCTAGAAGAAGAGATGCTATGCTGTCATTTGCTTTTGTATATCCTACTAAAACCGGTCATTTTACAGTCAAAGAGGTAAAAAACATATTCTTATGTATATATTTTTTTACATTTGACATTAAAGAAAAATAAATTTTGGAGCAAATTACACGAATGGTCCCTATGGTTTAGGGTAATTTGTGCGTTTGGTCCCTAACTTATTTTTTTAACTCAGAAGGTCCCTACTATTTGTTTTTGTTATGCGCTCGGTCCTTGTCTTACCTAAAAAGACTATGTTGCCTTTGATTTTTTTAATTTATTTCAACAAACACACTTCCAACCCCACCCCACCCCCTCACCTTACCTTGCCTACCCCACTATTTTTTCCTATTTAAATAATAGTCTTTTTTAGGTAAGACAGAGACCAAAGGTGTAACAAAAATAAATAGTAGGGACCAAGCGCGTAACAAGAACAAACAGTTGGGACTTTCCGTTTAAAAAAAATAAGTTAGGGACCAAGCGCGTAAATTACCCTAAACCATAGGGACCATTCGTGTAATTTTTGCAAAAAATTATTTGAACATTGTTTTATTTGTAGGTTGGAAAAACCTTGTCTTATCCGAATGCAAGACGACCAGACGATGGCAGCAAGGCCCTCGGCAGCCTTAGCTTTGAGGTAAGAAAACACCTTCTCATTACACTGTGTACTGGACTGAGACTGAGACTGATGTCAATAGCAGTAAAGGACAAAAAGTGTTTGATTCTTGTCCCACTCAAAAACATGGGACAAGGACTCCCTCTTGATTTCTCGTCTATATAAAAGACGTCAATGACCTCCTCATCTGTATTATCGAAAATAGCCCTAGAAAGTTTGTCCAGTAGTCCAGTTCAGTGTAACACAAACAAATATACAGTCTTAATGACTTTAACGGGTAACCTAATTTTCAGATTGGAGATTACCTAGATGTCGCAATTCTTTAGACTATTGTGGTTTTGTGGTTCGGTTTGGTTAAGAAGATTTAAACTCGTGGAAGGGTAGTTTTGTAATTTTGCTTGCAATCGACTAAAACTGTATTATATGGATATCTTTTAACCCTTGATATGATGCTTTAATTTGTTTTGTTTTGTGGTGGGTCCTGTTGAAAAGAGACAAAAGAAGTCATGTCGATGTCTTTTATGCTTGTTTGTGGGATTTAAATGTGCTTAAGTTGTAATAAAATGTGTATAAACGAAATCGAGCCCTATAAAAATACTAAGTAACCTTGGTATGGATACATTTTCAACAGTTATATTGAACTCGGTTAACATTTTTACAGAATGTGATTTTTAGAACTTTATTGGACAGATTAGAACATGTATAAGGATAACTATTTAGGGTATCTTCAACCCCACAAATATGTTGCACTAAATCACTTTTACATTAAAATCTACATTAAAATGTTCCAACAATATAGTCTAATACTAAATATAGTGTTATACTATTCATCAATATTGTATAGGTGAATAGTATAATATTAAATATAATGTTATACTATTCATCAACATTATCTTTTATACTATAAAAGTTGGATACAATAAAATATATCGAAAATACCTTTTTTTTTTTTTTTTAATTTTTTTTTTTATTTTTTTTTATTGATAAGTACAGTGGAATGGATTGGTGTCATTTTGCACTATCTTTTATATTAGAGCATCTCCAATGGGATGTTTTTTTATAACTTTATTTGGTTAACCGGTCAAAATAACTAAACACCATTGGAGTGTATGATTTTTTTTGCTTATTTTTACTGACCGCTCAATATATATATATTTAGTGGTTAATATAGTTTAAAGGTTTGAACAATCAATCCCTTTCTCTTTAATAATATTTCATTTTATCCCTTTGATTTACTTTGATTTATTTGTTATTTATCTAAAATTTATAGATAAACAAATATATAGTATATAAATATAAATTATAGTAGTATGTAAATTGTTTGTACGTGAATGAATGTTTATATTAAAATATAATGTGTTTAAAAAACGATTAGTTAAACGAGGTGGTTTATATAACATTTTACGTAGGTAAGGATAAAATAGTTAAATTAACAAAAAAAAGTCATAAAAAAGTCTAACTATCGGAGAAATCATTTAATTAGAGGTCAATAAAAATAAAATAGTAAGGTGATATAAGTTTACCATTAAAGATGCTATTATAATTAGGCTACAGGGAGTGATGTTATTTTTTTTTTTTTGCCATCTAGGCATCACATCATTTTTTGTGACACATCTTCAACATCTTATCATTTATGGGTGAGTTGACACATCTTTAACATCTTATTATTTATGGGTGAGTTGACACATCTTTAACATCTTATCATTTATGGGTGAGTTGACACATCTTATCATTTAGGGGTGAGTTGCCACACCTTTTATCAATTAAAAATTAACATTTTTTAATTGCTAGAAAATAAAATAATAATAATTAGAATTAAAAAACTTAAAGTCTTACAACCTTACATACTTCAAAACAAATATATATATATATATATATATATATATATATATATATATATATATATATATATATAGGGGATTGGGAATATACATTACAGCCTCACCTAAGCTTAAGTACTAAACCTCTAAAATATATCGTTTCAACATGCTAAATATACTCGGTTTGGTTTCACTTAGTAAATATATTATTCTCCATAACATTTCTTTCTTTCATTAACGTTTTATCATCTCCGTTTTCTTTCCTCAATTATCGTTTATTACTTCATCCAAGTGTTCATTACTAAACTCTAAACCTAAACCTAAACCTAAACCCTAAATTTAAACCCTAAACACTAAAGCTAAACCCTAAACCCTAAATCTAAACGCTAAACCCTAAACCCTAAACCTTAACCCTAAACCCTAAATATAAACCTAAACCCTAAACCATAAACCCTAAACTCTAAACCCTAAACCCTATTGTATCGATCTTGAATTTACATCTTGAAGTATTAATCGTAAATCCATTAACTGTAATCTTTATATAGTAAAACAATGTATTTTCAAGAGGTTTAGTACCTAAGCTTAGGTAGTGCTGTAATGTATATTCCCTTTTCCCCCATATATATATATATATATATATATATATATATATATATATATATATATATATTAATCACTTAAAAAAATAAAAACTTAAACATCATAACTACTGCAATCTAAAGAACATCTTCATCGGAGTATTAACATTCTAAATCATCGACCTGTTCCATCGTGCGTGAGGCATTGGTGAGCAACTTCACGATTTCTTTGTATGTATCTTATTTTTCTTCACCTCATATTTTGTTGCGTGGTTCTTCTACTTGCCGAGTTGAGTTATGATGTTGAGTTCCCGTTTGAGGACGAGACGCAGTGTTTGCGAGTCCAACTCGGATGTATCGAGCCTACAACGAGTCTACTCCATACAACTTTATAAGTTTAACTAGGTGTAAGACCTATGTAATACATGAGTTCATTTTACAAAAAAATATGAAATTTTAAACATTTGAGAAGTTTGAATTTATAAGAAAAAAATAGAAAAATATTGAATTATTAAAATTAAATTGTTTGTTTTTCTTTTAAATTAAACAAATAATTTAGATAAATAAACAAAAGAAACTTAAATTTAGAAAATTTAAAATTAGAAAGAAGTCAATTAATGAAATTGATATACATTTATTGCAATTATTACATTTAAATATTATGTGGAAATTAATAAAATGAAAAAACCATAAAATGCCATATGGGAAAAAAATTAATTGAAAATAACCACAAAATAACATGTGATCAAATCAATGAAAATATGACATGTGACAAAAAGTTCTTTATTATTTATTAGGGAGGATGTAAAAGAAAATGATAAGAGTTTGAGAAGGTCTTATTAAGCAAATTTCAAATACTTTACTTATTGCCATAAAAGCACTAAAAATTCAAATGTCATGGCTTTGATGTTGGCATAAAACATGTTAAATCGACTAGAAAAGGTTACATTTCCAACATCAAATTCTTTTTTATGGTTAATGCTCTACTTAACACAATAAAATATAGGTGACTAAGGGGAAAAAAACCAAATATAGTTGTCACTTATTTATGTCATCAACACATCTATTAAGGGGATATGTTGAAAAAATTGATAGGAAAATCAAAAGAAAAAACATAGTGAAAATTTGCTCCAAAAAGCAAACTATTGGTTTAACATTTTTTTTTACAAAACAATCTTTTATACAATAATATCTTCTAAAATATGTAGATTTTAATTTTGGTGATGTCATTTTTTGTTGGTGATTTTAATGTCACATTGCCATTTTATGTAACTGGAATTAATATGTAAGCTAAGAGATTTCATAATTTGTACTCTAATATATGTACGTGTTTGTACGAAAACCCTAAATCCTCATTAAAATCAGGATTTCCTTGACTTAGTTTTGAGTTTTTGAGGGTGATTATGGTAAAATTGATGAAATTTGTCAGTTTTGGATCCCCTAAATCCTCATTAAAATCCGGATTTCCTTGACTTACTTCTGAAGCAACCCATGACGGTCAACCTTAATAGAAACCCTAATCTCGTTTATTATATAAATGACTATTCTCTTTGAGAAGAGATGCACGGAATTCTTAAGCTCTCGTTTTCCTCAAACAAACATAGAATCCTTCTAGTAATGGCTTACAACTTCTGTGCCTAGAATCGCAGTGTCATCTTTGATTATCCTAGATTGAATTTCTTGTAACTTAGACATAGGATAAAAATATTAATTCGGAAAGTATTCTCACGATTCAAGTGATATCCAGATCTCCCCTACAAACCCTACTATTTCCAACATTTTTCGTAGGCAACAACATGTTTTCGTAATTAACAATGTCCAAAACGATAATTCTTCTGATTTTTGAAAAAAAATATAAAATATAATAAAAGTTCGCAGTCAATAAGATTTTCACATATGATTGATGCGAAATTAGCTGTTACTTTTTGATAATTTTCAATTTTTTGATAAAAGTATTAAAAAATGATTATTATTTTCTCATTAAGAAAACAAATTTTACAATTGTTTCTCGTTGTATCATGTAGTATGTGTGTATCGAAAATTCAAAATTTAATATTCCATTTCATATCTTTTTGTTCTCTATTTTTCCTTCTCAAATTATTTGAAGAAAAAAGAAGTGGGTAAAATCACTTGAAAAATCATCATGGTGGCACATTGTTTTGCAAAACTTTTACAAAGTTTGACCAAAGGTCTTTTGTTCGTTGCCTGAATTTCAAATACGATCTCGAAGCCACAGGCAATCCTTCGTCTTTATACTCCCATTTGTTTCTTCATTCCTTTTTGTTTCCTTAAAAGTACAAAACTCCGCCTTTCTTTACTGAAACCCATTTCAAATTTTGTTTTCGTTTATATGCTCAGACCCTAAAACCCATGCTATATTTGATGTGAATTCGAAAACCCATATCGAATATGCTGATTTTTCTTGAACATCATCTCTAATTTCTCGTTCGATTACTGCAATCAGATGGTGGGGAATGGTGGTGTAAAAGTTATTACCAAGAAGGCGTATTCAAGATTACTTGTAGATATCACTTGTAAACTGGGTAGTACTTCATTCAGAGGTCTTCAATCGTCAGATCCTGTAATGTCACCTTCTACTTCCTCTTCTTCAGTCTCTATCCTTCGTTCATCATCAAATTCCCCCTTTTCTGGCCTCGTTATTTGTGTCACTGGACTATCCAAAGGTAACCCAATCTTCAATTTCATTCACATATACTTTCAAATTTCAATTAATCATCGTTTTATGTGCCCTTAAAGTAATCAATTTTGCTTTCCGAACTTGACAATTTGTGAATATGCTATGCGTAATCGCTTAATTGCTTCATTATTTCAAAATTTCGACAAAACTTGACCTTTTCACCGAAAATAACCCCCCTTTTTCGAATCAGTATCTCACATTCTGCTCTTCTACTTCGAATATTGATAAATTTGAATGGAACAATAGATTCGTCTGATTACAATTGTCAAATGATTATCTTTGCTTATGAGTTAGTAGAAGTCTTGCTGCTCATATAGTCATATGATTAACTTTTTTTTTGATCTAATTTGCTTCATAATCTTGATTTACAGAAGCAAGAAAACAAGTTATGGATGCAACAGAAAGATTGGGTGGACAATATAGTCCTCATTTGCATCCACGTTGTACCCATTTAGTGGTCCAAATATCCTTTTGTTCTTTTTGTCCCTTTTCATCTTGATGTTGATGTTATCTTGTGATTGTTTCTTCATTTTTGTAGTTGCATTAATTAAAACTCTATCATCCTTTGTACATAAATGCTGCAAATTGGACAAGTTTCTACTATTGTTTGTATCTACTTTCCCAATTTTATAGAAACAAACATTTGAATCTTACAATTCAACCCTTTTGCTTTCCAAATTCAAATTCGATACCCTTTTCTTACAAACTTACCACAACTCCTTTTAACATTTTTCCAAACAACACTTAATTGAAAAAAAAGGGTTTCTTAACATGTATCTACAGCTCAGGTGGACGAAAGTTTGAGCATGCATTGAAACATGGAGCCACAAATGGTCTTTTTATTGTTACACTTGGATGGTTTGTTGATAGTGTTAGAAGAAATGGTAAAAGTTTGTACCTTAAAATATTTCAAATATTCAAAAATGTTTTTAAGTAGCCGATGTGGATTTCATTCTTTAGTCACCTAGTGGGCCACTGTGTACTTGAATTATTACAGTGTGAGCCTGTTCAGGAGTTGCTGAAAGAATAACCCTTTTGCAGAAATTGGTTTTAGACAAAATTACATAAATGGTCCTTATGGTTGACATAATAGACCAATTTTAGTCCTTATGACGAATTGTTTGCATAGATTGTCCTTATGGTTTCAAAATGTTGCAAAGACGGTCCTTTTAACTAACGGTGTTAAATTTTCCAGTTAAGTCCTTTGTGTTAGTCCATATGGCATTGGCATGAACAAATTACATAGACGGTCCCTATGACAGAAAGGGCATATGTGTCATTTCACAAAAGACTTAACTGGAAAAGTTAACACCGTTAGTTAAAAGGACCATCTTTGCAACATTTTGAAATCACAAGGATCATATATGCAAACAATTTGTCATAAGGACTAAAGTTGGTCTATTTTGTCAACCACTAGGACCATTTATGTAATTTTGTCTTGTTTTTATTGTTTGAATAAAAAAGATTTAACTTTTTTTTTTTCTTATTGTTGGATAGTGAGATTGAGTGAAGCACTTTATATTGTAAAGAATCTTGGAGAAAATCATATGCCCAAAGATGATTCGAATATTCTTGCTAGTGGGAATTCATGTCTTCCTATTGCAATGCTTGAAAATGCAAAACAACCAAACATGATTGAGAAATCAAGATTATTTTCATCAGAAGAAGAGCTTAAAAGAAGAGGCTCAGTTTTTTCGGGTCAATCATTTTATGTCGATGGAGACGTTTCTGCACAACTCCAAAATAAGGTGCTCTTGACTAGTTGACTTTTCCCATTTGTATTCGAATGAATGATGAATCTTTCTTCATTTTTGATACCTAAAAAGTTCAATAATGGAAGGTTAAATGCAATGTTCTTCCATTAATTTGTTTATTATAATTCATAGCATCCTACATTGTCATACAAATACATAAATTAAGGAGATTTTTAAAAGTGTAGTTTTCCATTAAGGAAAATGCTAAAGTACAATGCGTTAAATGAGAAAAAGGGTTATCATTGTTTTTTGGAAACTAACTTTTCAGAATGTCTTAAAGTTGCCAAGTAACCGATTTTATGTTTTACAAAGGGTAACTAACTCATGTTTTTTTGTATGGTTACCTTCTATTTTATGTTGAATAGATCACCCTTTTGATATATTTTACACTTTTGACCAAAGTTTTAAATTTTATTGCAAATTTGGTGTGAATCTAAAATTTTGTTACTAATTCGCCCCAAATTTCGTTTTTTTACAAATTTATATTTCTACAAATTGGAAAACATTAAAAAAGTAGATTGCTATTTCTTGTATGGATTAAAAAAAAGTGGTTTTAGTAGGTTGCTGAGTCAGCATTTGGACAAGGTGGCATACTAGTGGAACAATGGTTACCTGGTCACAATGCAAGTCATGTGGTGTGTGAAGAATCTTCAGTTCAAAAGTATCTTGGTCACTCCAATTATCTTGTTACAGTAAGTTATATAATTCAACAAATATATATATATATATATATATATATATATATATATATATATATATATATATATATCCAATTAAGTTGCTTTTATAAAATGTTAAATTCTATGTTTTAATAATTAGTCATATTTCAGCCACTATGGGTTTTGAAGACTGTGAAGGAGACAAGGCCTCAGAGGCTTGTTCATTTGTCTGCTGACCTGGCACGCCAGATTGGCATGATGCTTGGTAATCTTCAATTTGGTGGTGATCAAAAGGTATATAAATAATTATAAATAAAATCTCTCATTCTTGAAATTTTTTATCTGAATAAAAGATGTGTGAAAAGTATTTGAGAAATTGATAGGAAATAGATGGAAAAAATGAATTATGAAGAATTTATAAACATATAGGAATTAATAAGTAACTAGAAAAAAACCCATGCTATGCAATGGGGTCTTTTTTTTATAATTTTTTTTTCCTAAATGTATTATCAGCAGTTTAGTAAAGGGCAATGGGGACAATTTTTGTAATTAGTTTTGTACACAGGGGTCAAACCTGCCAAAATACAAAAATCTTACACATATGGACTGTTTTTGAAAAAAAAACTTTACAGGGGCCTTTCTATAAATAAAAAAATTACAGAGACTAAATCTGACAAAATGTAAAGCCTTTGTTGCAGGGACTAAATCTGTCAAAATGTAAAACCTTTGTTTTCAGGGACTAAATCTGTCAAAATGTAGAACCTTTGTTAGCAGGGACTAAATCTGTCAAAATGTAAAACCTTTGTTTGCAGGGACTAAATCTGTCAAAATGAAAAACCTTTGTGGTGAAGGTGTGAAAAACAATTATTTAGAATAACAAGTATTTAAGAATTAATAGTATATATAATAACCAAACTCTAGAAAGATTTACCTAAACATAACCATATGAACATGTAACATATTGAACACAAAAGTTGAAACATTTTTTTAGAATAACAAATATTTAAGAACCCCTTTTAAATGGTTGATTATAGTTTCTCCCATTTTATTCTATCACAAATATTTTATACCCTCTACTATAAAGTTCAATTTTTTGCTCACATGATGATTTTATTTTTTTATAGGAAAGTAATAGGCCCAATCGCTCTCAAGATCCAAAAACCCTTGGAATAAATTCAAACCATGAAGAGAATCAAAATATAGCAAATCTTGCCAAAAAAGGGGTTAGAAATCGTCGCAATCGCCGCATGCAAGTAATATTAATTAATATTCAATTTCCTTTTGCTTAGTTTATGAATAAAATATTTAAATAAACTTATTTTTGGCTATGAATTATGATGACATTGATAGGCATGTGAAGCACCAATAAAACCATTAACACCAACCACCCTTCTTGATTCGATTTGTTGGTCTATCTCTGAACCTTCATCAAGTGCTTCTATTTATACGGATGATGCCAAGTCACCTTCATTTGAAGATGGGAAAGAATCCGATGCTTCTTTTGTGAATTTCTCACGACCACTTTCCGAAACGTAATTAATCACTTTTTTTTTTGGTATATGGTTAAAGGCAAGAAATTGCAACGTTTATTTGTTTGTTATAGCATTGTACTTTGAAAAATCTACCCAATAAAATTATAAGAATGTTGTACAAATAAATGAGGATGCTATAATACACGAATAAACAAAAGTATGTTGCTATTTCTTGCATTTACCTTTTTTTCTATATGAATATAGGTTATGTTTTTTTAGCTTTTTATTTGGTGTTTTTTCTACACAGTGAGAAGAACGAGTTGGTTTTCAAGAACCATTTCCTTACTATACTCTTTCCGGTTGACCGATTCTCCGAAATGGGCCCTTGTTCAAGAACCTTTTTTAGCGATTCAGGGTTCACATGTTTGCAGTTGTTAGATCACATCTATGCATTTTACCAGGTAAAACATGACATGACATGACATAGCACACTGTATACTGTGTACTTGAACAAAGACTTAAGTTAGTGGGAAAAAAATACAACTTTTTTGTCCTAGCAAAAAGGTGGGATAGGGACTCACTATCAATCTTTTGTATGTGCAAAAGACATAAATGCCCTTCTCACCCTAATCATTAAAGTAACTCATGGCCTTTGTTAATGGTGTAGGAGAAGATGTCAAGATTGGAGATCGAGTTAGCAATCCATACGGATTCAAGGCATGCGGATAGGTTGCGATCATTATATGCAAGCAAAGAAGTTTCAGAGTGTGGTTATATGGAAGTCAAGAGAGTCGAGTTTTTAGGGAGTCGAAAAAGCTTAGAAATGCTCAAACGGGTCCCGGGGGAGAACAATAGTAATGTCTATGAACTTTTAACCCGAGCTTAATGCCACCAATGTGGGCCCCCCGCCCATGATAAGTGGGTCCGAGAACCTCTTGTTTTTGGATTTTAGAATTTCAATATTGAGGGCTAGTGGGACCCGTTTGACAACCCTTCTACAATAACCCTTGTAGTAAGTAAAAAAATTATCTTTATAGTTGTGTATATGAGAATTATGGATTTAAGGTAATTTGTTGGGGTGTCTAAAGAGGATAATGTTGTTATGTATCTTTGTAGAACCGGCTATGAGAGGTGTTTGATATGGGTGTGTTTCATCGTTATGAAAAATAAGTATTTAGGATATGTTTAGATTTTGGACATGTTTTGGATTCCGAAATTTTATTTATTTTTATTATTTTTTACTTTGTCTGTAATGTTTAGTTGGTAAACCTAAATCTCATCCCAATCTGAAATATTGTCTTAGTGTGTTATAGAGACAGTAAAATGATGCTAATTTTTTTTTTAGAATTATGCAAACCAGAAGAGAACGATGTACCTTTTCAATGCATAAACACATAAAATTTGTTTTTTTTTTTTTTTTTTTTTTTTTTCTAAATTAATTGAAACAAATTGTGCAATCCAAGTATACAAGGACCATTGGGTCCGTTGATACCATATTAATAAACTCATAATCCTCAACGTTTAAGTTCTTTCTAAATTAATTGTTACAAAAGAGCTTATTTTGACGATTTACTCTGAAAACAGATAAACATGGAAAATTATTAACAACCTAAAAAAGATTTATACATGTTCAATTGTATAAAAAAGTACTGATTTCACAACCATATTAACATAGGGTTGAAGGAAGTGGTGCCACGCTCCCTCATGACACCGTAGTGACACGTAGGTGCCACCTCACCCATTATCACAAAAGTGTGGTCTTATACTACACCAAGGAGTGGTGCCACACTCATTTAAATTATTTTTATTTTTTAAATAAATAAATTTTTTAGTTTTAAATAAAAACAAAAGATTTCATTAATTAAAATTAAAAACCATTACATTACTTAAAAAAAAACTAGGAAATTAGAAATTAAAAAACTACATAGCTTAAACGTACAACTTAAAAAAAAACACATAAAATAATTAAAACTAGGACAACAACTAAAAATTAACCACGATTAGTGTAACGTTTTTTCACGTCTTCTTTCATTTGTAAAATGACTTGAAGCGCATCCCCGGTCAAATTCAACATGTCCATCGATAACACTACCTGTCCCTTTGTTTCCGACTCTCCCTATTCGAAGCAAGTTGCAAAAATTTATCCATTCTATATTTTATGCCTTGCACATTATCACCTATATTCTTTCAAGTCATCTGATTCTGACGCTTTGCACTTGCCCTTGCCATTTGTTTTGTCCCTTCCCATTGGTCCCGGGGGGGGGGGGGGGGGGGGGTGGTGAAACTTGAACGGGCTCATATTCGTTGAGGTCGAAACCAACACGAGCATCCGATGAAGTGTGTTCCGAGTCGGAAGTTCTTGACCATTTTGATCCGCTATCGATGTGCTCGTCGCTTGTTTTCAGGTTTTGCCATTTTTTTTTGTTGCTTTTTACTAGATTCCAAACTTCAAAAAACTTGAAAGTCTTTTTTTTGCTTTTTTTGATAAATGTTAAAAGCTTTCTTCAAAACCACTTCGTCACTTTCGCCGCTTTTCCATTGCCGTTTCATGTTGTTATATAAATCGTTAAACAACATCACGTCTCTGTTCATCTTTCCCCATTTTGAGTACACCTGATGTTTAGTATGATATGGTTCTAAGTCAATTCCTTTATGGAACCGAGCTCTAACGCGTATCCAAAAACAATCATGTTTTTGGTTCCCTCCCGTCTTCGCATCCTCTGAAACGCTAATCCATGATTGTGATAATACTAACTCTTCTTGAGGTGACCACGGTTTAGCTTCCGCCTTATCTTTTCTTTTATTTCCTGGTTGAGAGGGTTGAGTTTATGGAACAAATTCTGGTTCAGATTCAGAAATGGGTGTTTGTGGTTGTGATTGTGTTTCTGGAATAAACTCTGATTGGGAGCCAAAATCAAATTGATCAAAATCTTGGTCAAATTGTAGCTGTGTTTGTGGAAATGGTTGCGTAGGACGTGGTTGTTGGATATGTTGTGGAAAATAGAGAACCATACCCCCGTAGTGGTAGAAAGGAGAGGAATAAATTGGTTGATCGAGTGAAGGTATTGGAGTTGTGGGTTTTTTGGCGGATGTTTTTTCGTTTGTTGGATATCTGGAGGATGACATTTTTTGTGGGTTTGAAAAGATAGAAAATAGTAAAATGTTGAAGATTGTAAAATGTTAATGTGTTTTTTTTGGTTAGTTTTAAAGTATGTATAGTAGTGGTTAAAAAAAATATTTGAAATTTGACCGTTTTCAAATGGTAAAGAAATGACAGCCAATCAAAAACCAGTATGTGTCGCACCCTTGGAGGGCCGCAGTGCAGCTGAGACCGCACCTAGACACCACCCAAGGGGTGGTGTGCGAGATGAGGTGGCATAGGGTGCGCGACCTAGACCGCACCACTCTCTCCGGTCTAATCATACTTTCACATAAACAATACATCTCGTTGCAACATTACTTAAAAATAAAACCTTTGTAGCAGATATTGTTGGATTAGTGTCTAAGTCCATAACTATTTTGGTATGTACTTGACCCGATTATGAGCATGGTCCTTTTGGGTTGCCTTCACCATAGCAATATGTAGGATGATTTAAGGAGATTAAGGTTTAAATATGATCTATTAATATATTATGAGAATAATATATTAAAGGAGAAATCATATTGTTTAATTAATATTAGTCAAGAATTAATTAAGAATTAATTTTGTGGCTAAAAGAGATTAATTAAATATAGGGGACTGGACTGCAATTATTGGATAATTGAGTTATTGGGCTAAGGAATGCTATAGGAATAAGGGGTGAACGAAATTATGATGGAAGCCCATCATATTTTCGTCCATAGCCTTGTCCAGAAGGTTCCATGGGCTGCTTAGAGTTTAAGCTGTCCATTAGGGTTTTGACTGAAACCCTAGAAGCCCACACTAGTATATAAAGGACCCTTAGGCCCCAAAAACGTGGACAACACTTCCATTAGGGTTTCCAGCCGTTTTTGGTGCCTCCTTTTCTTCTCCTCTTCATCCAAGTTGCATATGGTGTTTGTGACTCCATTAGAGGTACTACACTTGTGGTACTTGCTTTCAAGAGCTAAGGAAATTCAAGGAACTAGTTGTTATTGCTATATAACAACAAAAGGTATGTATTCTAGCTTTATATATGAATTTCGAAAATTATAGTAGCATGCCAGGTTTCTTTTTGTGTTCATAAAGTGTATAACTAATAGTGAAAACATAGATCCAATACTAGGGTTGCATGCACACATAGGATTGTTTGTATAAAACCCATCAGTGGTATCAGAGCCATTGGTTTTTGTTTTCAATTAGCTTTTATTCAAATTTGTGAACTTGACATATTAGGGTTTATGGCTAATAAACCCTAAAGGCTAGGTAATTTTCGCAATTAGGGTTGCAAAACCCTAGATGGCGATTTTTGCTAGGGTTTCCCAAATCCTTTCCTTAGCCTCCAAGATTTTGAAATCTAGGGTTATCCAACCCTTGGATTTCGAAATTACCTCCTTCCCAAGGTTAGATCCTAAATTTTAGGGATTTGGATAATCCCATATCTTGTAATTATCTTTTAATTGTTAAATATGGTAATTAAAGATCTTGAATTATCCCATCCCTTATTTTCGAGATTTAGAGAGGGATTCAAGGGATTAGGATATCTTAGATGTATAATTGGTAATTATCCTCATGATCTAGATAATCCCTTGTGATTTAATAATTTAAATTAATTGTTTAATTTATGGTAATTATTAAATCAAGAGTTTTAATATTTAAAATTTTAATTTAAATGTCTTAAATTCGAAAATTTTAAGTGAGATTAAAACCTAATTGTTTTGAAGAGTTTCAAAACTTGCCCTCAAGTTTTGGAATTTAAATTGTTGATTAAAAGTTAATTTTGAAAGTCTAAATTCCAAAACCCTGATTTTGAAAAGTTCAAATTAAACCCTTATGGTTTTATTAAATTAATTAAGTGTATAATTAAAAGAGATTTAATAAATCCATAATGATTTTGGTTAATTAAAAGTATAATTTAAACCACCTAGTATTTTAAAAGTGTAAAATACACCCTTATACTATATATAACATTAAAAGTTTAATATTATATATGTATAACTAAAAAGTCAGTCTTACCGTTAGTAGGCCTCATTCACGAAGCTAGTCTATAAGGGGTGTTTAAGGAAATTGCCTATAAAATGGCGATTGAATGGGTATCCACTCTTACCCACCGCACTCTTGACTAGTGGAGGGTCGTTAGCCGAACGGGTAGGATAGGACAGAAACCTTCCATTATAAGTATAATGAAGTACAAAGTAACTAAATGCTTTTTCAAATTCCCAAATCATAGTTACTTTAGGCAAAATGTGAAATTGTATGCTAACCCATGGAATTACACTTCGTACCCTTGTCAAACGTTAGTGGAGCGTGTGTGGTTAACCGGCACACTAATTTGGGGATGACATTGGTGGCGAAGGGTGGCTCGATGCTTATCATAGATCAATGGAGCGTGTGTGGCTAACCGGCACATTGATTAGGTGATAGTAGCATTGGGTGCACCACGTGATTCGTATGGTTATTCACACCTTGTTTGTGATCCTCGGCATCCCAGTCACAAATAGTAGGGCATAATCGAGATTAAACATGCCATTGAAAAGTTCAATGAATCTCAAAAGATCTAGGAGTTTCAATTCATTTAAAACTTAAACTTCTTTTTCGTTTTTCATGGTGGAAATTGGTAAATCGTCATTTACCTACCTTCAATATTCTGCAACTAGATTACGGCATCCCTCTTCTAGGTTGTAGAGTATTGTGTTGGATCCTAGCTTGATGTTTCATTTGGGTGTTGCATCAAGAATTCTAATCAACTTAACTTGAATTTTCTCCCGTTTTGTAGATGTCTGAATCTTACAATGGTCTTCCCAAATCCTTTGGAACAAGCTTTCCAAATGAAGATGACGTTCCGAGATACGATCAAGGAAATGAGAGTCATGCTTCACTTCCTCCACCTCCTCCAATTATTCTCCCTGACCCACAAGTTCAAAGGCTTGAAAAGTTCAAGCTCACTCAAGCCCTTTTGGCAAGTAAACACGAAGATGGGAAACCTGTGTGTGCGCACGTCTTAGAGATGAAGTCATACATTGATAGGTTAAACATGTTGGGTGTCGAGATTTCAAGTGAGTTGGCTGTTGACTGGGTTCTTCAGTCACTTCCTGAATCATATAGTGAGTTCGTTAGAGAGTACTATATGATGGACCACGACGTGACCCTAATTGATCTCACCTATTTGCTTATAGCTG